ATTTTGTCTATTTAAACCTAAATGTGAAAAATGTTTTTTTTTAATTTATCCCAATGTAATTTGCAACAATTATAAAATTCTGTAAACAAATTTGCAAATTGGAAATAACCAGTATTTGAGAGTTTATATTTAGGTATAGAATTTCCCGATTATGTGCCTCTTCTATTATATTGTTTAATAAAAATTATTTGGTTACTTATAACATTAGAATTATAAGCAGAAAAAAAACAACAACAGACGATTAACTTCTAATTCAAAATTTTACATCTATTTGGTATGTGTTATAAATAAACAAAGCTACTTTGTTTCTGCAGAAATTACGCCTTCTATAAATATACTGCTGCATTTAGTTAATTATAGCTAGTAAGAAAGTAATTCTTGTAACTAAAACCGAATTTCAGACAATTATATAAGCTTTCTTTGTTTATTTTTAATTTCGCGCAAAGCTACACGAGGGCTATCTGCGCTAGTCGTCCCTAATTTAGCAGTGTAAGACTAGAGCGAAGGCAGATAGTCATCACCACCCACCGCCAACTCTCGGGCTACTCTTTTACCAACAAATAGTGGGATTGACCGTCACATTATAACGCCCCCACAGATAAAAGGGCGAGCATGTTTGGTTGGATAGGGATTCGAACCCGCGACCCGCAGATTGCGATTCGAGCTCCCTACCCACCTGGCGAAATTATAGGAAACAGTCCAAAAACGGGTCCATTACATAAGCATGCTTTTTACAATTTTAGAATTCTACAGATACTTCTATTTTAGATGTTTTTATTAAACCTCTTATTTAGAGCAGTTGTATATTTTTTGTTTTTGATACAAAAATGTTCATTCATACAAATAGTAGTGGGGTAGACTGTTTCTTATTTAACTTAAAATTGTATATATATATATATATCGATATTTTTTTTGCATTTCAAGGTGTTATTTCTTTGGTGTAATTTGGTATGAAAGAAGTTCCTCCTCCTCACAATCAATATTGATTTCAATAGGAAAAAAACAAAAAGAACAAACTAGCATGACGTGTATTGTATAACTAAAGAAGCAAAATCTTAAACAATGCTATAGCGGATTTCTAATTAATTGTTCCCTACTATTATGCTCAAAATACACTTGTAAGGCAACTGTCATGTAGAATGTTAGAATTTTAAGAAATGACAGTGAGTTGCAATAACAATTTTAGACGTAGAGGATAATAAAACATTCAACCTTGACATTTTTCAAATATATGTTGCGAATTTACAAATTTTATTTGATAGGATTTGTTTTTTTGTTTCTTTGAAGTTAAGCACAAAGCTACACAATGAGCTATCTGTGCTCTGCCCACCATGGGTATCGAAACCCGGTTTCTAGCGTTGTAACTCCGCAGACATACCGCTGTGCCACTGGGGGGGGGGGTTGTTTGATAGGAAACATAGTTCTATCTCTATATGTTTCTGGATAGGGTGTTTACATCATCGAAGACCCCTGCCCCCCAGTAGCACAGCGGTGTGTCTGAGTAGAGCACAGATTAACCATTGTGTAGCTTTGTGCTTAACTTCAAAGAGCTTATTCAACAGCTGGAAGATCTCACTTGTTTTGTTTGAGAAACAAATATGTAGATATAGTTATGCTGTCCGTGTATTCTCTCCACGAATTGTCTTGACACATTGAAATAAATTTTTAAGATTGAAGTTTTTATAGTACTGTTCCTCTCAACGACACAGACTCTCTGTCTCTGTATGATAAGGTTTCATTCAACATTGAGACCTCCACTCAAGAAACAAGGCAAGATATGTTCCTTACAAATTCAAATCTTGTGATATCTACGCTGACTAGAATACTAAGTAAACGAAATAATTATACTAAAATTCTCAAATGTGTATGAATTTATATTTTAGTGTACTTTATTCGGAATAGTTGGGTAGTATTAGAAGCGATAAGAACACTTTTTTGAATGAGTTTGTTAAGACAGTACACGAGTAAATTCTTGTAAGCCGTAACTAGAGCATTTCTTAAAGTGATCGGCTTACATGTTTACTATATTGTTTCATTGCTGCCAAACGGCAAGTCTGGAAAGAATCTTCCTAGCATAACAACGAAGTCTTGGCGTAACCTTATACAGACGGACAAACCATGGCAACTACATCTTTAGTCGAGTCTTTCGTTTCAATAGAATGCTGGTTTCAAACAGCTTTGTTCAATCATGCTTCTATGACGTCTTGTGTTGTTTTTACCATTTGTATTGCTTTATGGTGTTTTATTATATTTTGTGTTGTTCTTTGCTATTTTATGCACTTTTGGTAGGTATTTACCGTTTTTAATCATTTGTTTGATAACGTCCTTATATAAATTTTCAAATACTCAATACGTTGTTTACAGCCTAAAACATATCATATATAAGTGAGGTACATTATTTCTACATTAACAGATGATATAATCTAATTATCAAAAAATTATATAAACTATTCTTTTTTTATTTACAAACCAGTTTGCTCGTAATGTTGTCCGGTATGAGATTAAAAACATTTACTCGTATTTCGGCAATGCGTAACCTATTTAATAGTATATGAACATTAGTAAATCTATCAAAACATTAAATATATACTTCACAATGACTCACAAAAAATATATTGAATATGTGTCATTCTGATGTCACATAGATTACGAGATTTTCCTTGAAACTGAATAGATAAATTCCCCGGATTGTTATCAGTATTTCCTCTCTTATGTTGAAAGCTCAATGTTGAATGATAGTAGGCTGATTTTTTACGCTATTTCTCAACTATAACAAAGTAGTGAACCTACGTCTGAAATGTAAAGTAACACTATAACTTCTAAGGACGATTCTATTGCGTGTGATTCAACTGAAAGGTGACGTCATATCCGTTTGGGACACAACCACCATATACGTCAGGTTTTCCACAAACCTTCGTCAGCATTTATTATAAAGAAAAACACGCATATTCAAAAAATCTGGAAGTAAAGTAAACGTTTAAATAGTTTTTAAGTAATTTATGTTTTACGACATATCTTAACTTCCTCCTATACTAAAAACTCATTTCCTTACAAGCAGGATTTTAAGCTCCTTTTTTATTCACTATACATCTTTACCTGCTAACACATTTTTCAGTTTCTTGTGCTAATTTCCTGTACTTAATAAATTCAACTCATAATAATTGCAACTTTGAAGTTAGCTATGTCCACTCCCCGGCTGTATTAGTGCTAAATCTATTTACAACGCAAATGTCTGAGGTTCGATTCCCAGCGGTGTACAGAGTGCAGATAGCCAATTGCTTTGTGAAAGTCAGCAAACACACAAACAAGTTACCTATATATTAAAGATTTCATTTAAAAATTGTTAGTAATTTTCTAAATTAACAAAATCATAAAGTCGTTCAAGACGGTCAAGTGAATTTTAAGTTCTTATGGAGAAAATTTCAACGCTAGGGTTAATTTTATCATTGTTTGTAATTAAGCACAAAGCTACACAATGGGCTATCTGTGATCTGCCCACCACGGGTATCGAAACCCGTATTCTGGCGTTGTAATTCCGCAGACATACCGCTGTGCCACTGGGGGGCTAGTTTTATCGTATCTTGCATATTAATATTACGTTAATAATAGTTAAATATATGACTAAATCTACTAACTAATCACGAGATAACATATAAAATAGCATATATTCCAGATTCCATTTCCAAGCGGCTTTGATACTTCAGCTCAGAAAAATAAAGTTTATTATATTTTAATAGTTATCGGGTATTCTCCGGAATGAGTAAGCTCGAAAGGTTTAAATGCTTATATAGTGCAACTGTTAAGTATCGAATCTTTGTTATTGATATAAAAATTGCTTTGAAAAACATGAAGCTTAAAAAGCTATGTAAAGAAATACTGTGAACCCCACCAAATGATCGATGTTTAAAATGTATGTATCCGCAACATGTTATAGCTGGTTTTAACACGTATTGGGCTTATAAATAAAACCATTGAATAACAGTATAAATATGTTATATATGAAATCCATACTGCTATTGTGTTTAGTCTTCTTTGGTGTTTATTTGTAACCAGTGGTGTAGTGTTAAGTTTTATAGTACCGGAGCCCTGCCAAACTTTGTCAAATTTGTGATGTCACCATTAGCGTAAGGATCTCATATTCCAAACCTAATTTCCATTTTTAAGTCCATTTTAATTAAATAAAACACATACATCGCTATATATTTGAGTTTACTTACATAAAAAATTGAATAACATATGTCACCGAGAGAAATCTGCAATTCAACTTCATTTAAATTGAGCACTAAGTAAAAAAACAATAACAGTTGAGTACAATATTTATCTGTCCCTCTATATATATATAATGCTTTGCCTCCTTGAATTTCAGTTTTAGCAACAATAGTATGTAAACATTATAACAGCTTTAATTCTTATGCTGGTCTTCACTCCATCAGTTCTGCCAACACAAATAACTAAAAAAACATCAGTTCTCGTATATTACGTAAATAACAGGCCTTTTAAAAATTCGTGTGCCTTAATAACCACATGACGTATAAGAAAAAAACTTTTCCCCATTTTAACGCTCTGACACCTGCTCTTGAGTCGGAGCGGTCGCCCAGTACCTGAAGCCAACTCCTGAGGGAAAGGAACAGAATGCGACTGGACAAGAGGTACATCACAAGCAGCCAGAGTGTTCTGTGACACCATGAGAGTTTTGATATGAAAGACGATTAATTTATGGTGCAAACTGAATAATTTAGTTTTTATATAAATATTTTTATATTTTGAAATATCGAGACTCAGCTCCAATTCCAGGTGCCGGAGTGGTTCTCCTGTGCACTCCAGCAGCACTCCAACTTTGTTTATAACGTTTAAAAGGCAAAAATCAATCTAAATGTCTCAGAACATAATCATATGTTTGGTTTTGTAAATTAAATCTTAATGTTTATAAGATACAAACAGTATTTGTTTTCATATTATATTTATATACACTTTTAGCAGTTTCCAGTATTTTCCAAACAAAAGTTCAATTCCCTTTCATTACACAAATTATCATCACTAAAAACAGTGTCATTTCACACAAAAAAATATACTTTTGTTGTTCTTTAACGTTAGACTTGTAAACGGCCAGAAATGGTATTTTAGACAACAGAGGATTTTGTGTTGCAACTGCTGCCTTTTGAGATGGAAGTACTGGACGTACTAGATTTGCTTCTTGTAGTACCGAGACGATAACTTTTCCTCTTCCTACACAAACAGTCTTCAACGATAAACTTCCTTAGTCCACGGTGCCACCAAGCGTAGATGAGAGGATTTAAAAGGGAATTAAGGAATCCCAGAACTGCCAAAACAGTAGCTATAGTCACAGCTAATTTCCCATTCGGTTTTACAACGTAGATGACTACAGCGATAAAATAGGGAAACCACGACACAATAAAAGCACTGAGGGTAAAAAGCACCACTTTGATGGCTTTCCACTTCTTCTGAGAAGTGTTTATATAGTTCGGATCATGTGTGGTAAGCATTTGTCTCCTAGATCCTTGACTCCTAGACAATGAAAATTCTGACGTTGACTGAGAATTGGGTTTGAGCATGTGAATGTTTTCTGGATTGTTATATTTCGTGCTACTTTTTCTATTGTCCACATGGCGGATGGCTTTGTACAAAATGAAAGCATACAACACCACTATGATCCCAAGTGGAAGAAAAATACCAATACTAACGGTAAATAAGATATGTTCTCGCGTAGCCACTGTGATATACCAACACTTTGATCCATCACCAGGATAGGACCAACCCATAGCTGGAGAAAATCCAATTAAAAGGCATATAAGCCACGAGCAACCAATCATCAACCTGGCCCTTCTCGTTGTCATCCAACTGTTATAATAAAGTCCATAAACTATGAAGATAAAACGGTCAACTCCGATCAAAGTGACACTCCAAGCAGAAGCCAATGATGCACTTACGATGCTCCCTGGAAAACAAGAAAAAGTTTGTTTGTTTTAGTCTGTTTGTTTTTAATTATACATAAAGCTACACAATAGACTATCTGTGCTCTGCCCGCCACGGATATCGAAACCCGGTTTCTGGCGTTGTAAGTTCGCAGACGGAGAAGAAAAACTAATTTCG